GAGGCAGTCCCTTTCCCAGTGAATAGGCTTGGTGCCCTTGTGGGACCAAAAACAGATGGCAGTAAGAGTGTGGGGTGATTTCTGGATTCTCTATTCTATTCCATTGATCAGTGTGTCTGTTTTTATGCCAGTACCATACTGTTTGGGTTATTATAGCCTTGTAGTATAGCTTAAAGTCAGGTAGTGTTATGCCTCCAGCTTTATTTTTTTTGCTCAGCATTGCTTTGGCTACGTGTGGTCTTTTATTATTCCATATAAATGTCTGGATAGTTCTTTCCATTTCTGAGAAAAATGGCAAAGACAGATTTTAAAGCATATTCTGGAGGAGCACAGGAAATGATACTTTTTTTTTTTATAGCAAATAAACCAGCATGGGTGCATGCTTTGAGGCTCCATCTATTTTCTTCCAGCTGCAGAACCCTCACCATCATGGACCCTGCAGACTACATGGTTTTGAAAAGCCAAGAACGTTTGGAGCTGGGTCATAAAGCAGGTGTAAGCACTCCTATTTAATGGAGAGTCTGCTTGTTCATATTTTCAATGTTCAGGGAGGTCAGTTCCCACTCATTCTGTCTGGATATTTTTGGAGGGTGGCCTGGGCCATGAGAAAATCTCAGGCCACCTTATAAGGCCGTGTCTGGAGCTGAGAATGCTTGTCGGCAGCATGTTCAGTATACTCTATGGATTTGAATTAACTGGACTCTTGGACTGAGGACTTTCTCACAGATTTAAAAAGCTGCTATTCATGCCATGGATTATTCTCGCTCTTAAATGGCTGAAAGTCTTCCTCAAGAGATAGCTATTTAAATGACAAGCATTTTGGACATACCAAGTAGATAACCAAGGGGCTATATAAACTGGATAGTGGCCATCAACAACCACAACTAGTTGCCTGTGCTTAGGCTGACAGATCCTATCGCAGGTGATTTGTTTATCTGACTATTGTATGTTAAAGTGAAATCCACAGACAATTAGTTCTGAGTGATGATGGGAGTACGGCTATGTTAAGGAGAGGGGTCTGTGGTTTAAAATGAAGCAAAATCAGTTTTTTTCTCCTAAACTTTTTCCAATCTTTTTGTATGTGAATGAAGTTTATGAATCTCCAAGAAAGGGAGTCAATGCAGGATTTTCTGAACCTATTTTTTACCTTTATCCTTGAAACATCTTCAGGACTAAGGTTTCTTGAACACACCTTGAAAAATACTAAACTGTCAGTGTAGCTTTCCCCATCAGAGAATATTGATCCATCTGGGGGAAAAAATGAGAAAGGGAGCCTTAGCCTGGCATCTAGGAAGATTTGCCTTGTTTCTTCTCTGTTGTTACTGTAGGCTTTTGAAGTATGTATATATAAATCATCATCATCAAAGAAGTAGATAAATGACTAGATTGAGAACCCAGGTGTCAGCAGCCATGGAGTCTGCCATTTGCTGATTTCTAGCAATGTAAAAGTTGTCCACCAGTGGATGT